CATGCCCACGTGCCTCGGGGGAAACAAAAACAAGCTAAACAAAAACAACAAGACAAAAACAAATCTTCAAGGCCTTCTGAAGGAAACGCCCTGAATGCTGCATCTTTTTATTTAGCCTCGTTAATGCAGCTTGGTAAATTTGTCACCTCGCCGTGAAATTTCTTCTTCAAAAATATCTGTTTCGCTTTCAAGGTCAATCTTTTCCTGTGGGGTGACGAAGCTAACATATTTTTTTAATTATTTTTTTTCGAAAACTAGGTCAGCTGTCCTGCAGGCTAACAGGTTTACACGAAACTGCTCTTGTTCTTTTTTTTCGAGAAGATAATGTCCAGACATAACAGGTTCTTCCTTCGCGCCAACTGCTTTTTGTAGTAAATCGATTCATCCTTGGAAACAGTGGTACAACTCCCGTTCTTACAACAAAATTCACGATGGATGTGTCAATATTTCAGACGCTGATTAATATAATCATATATCTGTATCTGGATGAAATTTATATGATTATAAGTGTGTATCTGTGTGAATTAAATTTTACAGGAATATATCTATCTATCCGTCTATGAATAAAAATATACATGTAATGAATGGATCAATATATCGGGAAATACCATATTTATTAAATTATTTGTTTTGCTTGCTCAGTATACGAGGCAGAGATCATTACCATCCAATAAAAGTTGATTATAAAGCAGAAGGGAACGAGAAGACACCGTCGCCCAGAAAGGACAAAATGGCGCGAAAAAAACAAAACAAAGGAAGAAAGGGGTGCAGCTGTGACAGGTTCCACGCTCAGTATTCAATACAGGATAACGGTGGAATTAAGTAGCTGTGACACTACGTCAGAAAAGCATTGGATTCGTTTATTTATTCATTTATTTATTTGTTTGTTTACATGCTTTTAGAACAATAAAGGACAGACAGCTTGTTACGAATGATGCAAAGTTGCCAATAATGGTGAATCTTGCTTTCTAACCTAACGATCACCTTAAGTTTGTTCAACTTTCATTGATACACGAAAGAAAAAAAAACTAAAACAAATGAAGGTGGAATTAACAAACAATACATTAACTACACATAAGGTATACAGACCATAACCGACAAATAATGTATTTTCGGCTGGAAACTTCCCGGATTTGGAAGTGATATCCGAGTGTTTTGAAGACACGTGGAGATGAGCTTATGAAGAGATGTCCGGTTACAGAAGAAAGGGATATCCAGTTTTCACGATGGTGTGGAACGAACGTCTAGCAAAAGAGAGAAAGAGACACTCAGACAGACAGGCTGATCGATATAGTAGAGTAGAGAAAGACAGACAGAATCTGGATATATGGCTTATTTTTATTCTTATGAGGTTAATGGAATATCTTGAGGAGAACAAGCCCTTATAAGTATAATGGTGATGATAATGACGTCGATAATGACAACAATGGTAATGAAAATAATAATAAGGAAGATACGAATAGTAACAATGCCAATCTGTAATAATCATAACGCAACAACAACATTAACGATAGTAATAATAATGATGATGACCATATCCTTAACAACAACAACAATTCAATTACGTAATCTAAACCGATATACACAGCAACTGCAACGTACTCCTTCGTTTGCAAATTACGGTCAGCTTGGCAACAGGGAACCGTGAGGCTAAGATACACAGACAGAAAGACACATAGACCTTGAGAGACATTTACAAACACCCAGATAAAGAGGGAGAGACATACAGACAGACAGGCAGACAAGGACATACAGATAGACAGAGAGAGAAAGACAAACAGACGAAGAGACAGAAGACAGACAGATAGACAGAGAGCGATAAGCAGACAGACAGATAGACAGAGAAAGACAAAGAGACAGAAAGACAGACAAACAAAGAGAGAAAAAAAAAACAGAGACAGACAGACAGAGAGAGAGAAAACAACAGACAGACAAACAAAAGGGGAGAAAATAAACAAACAGAGACAGACAAACAAACAAAAAAAAAAGCAGACAGGCAAAGGCAGCCACGCAAAAGGACTAAGATAAAAACATGTCTGGGTACAACTGTTCCAAAAGAAAATTCACTTCTATCCATCAATCGTTCTCGTTTCTGGAACAATATCGCATTTTTTTTATAATGATAATGATGATAGTAGCTGTAATTCAGTTAATTAAAGTAATGATGATAATGATGTTATTAAAAGTAATAGTAATAAGAGAAATAATGATAATAACATTAATAATAATGATGATGCTTAAAATAATAATAGTGATAATGATAATGATATTAGTAAAAAAATAATAATATTAATAATGATAATAACAGTGAGAATAACAACGAAAATAAAATAATGATAATAATATTATGACATAAAGTAATAATAGTAACAACAATAATAGTAATTATGATAATAAAAATGATCATAATGATGATCATGATAATAGTAATATTAATGTTAATAATACGAATAATAATATTAACACTAATAATAACAAATAATAATTAATAATAATGATA